CTATTGAAAATGGTTCATGATACCTATTCATGTGTATCTTGTAGATATGGAAGATCTGAAGCAGTTCAACATGAAAATCGCTACTTCATATTTCAGTCATTCATATAAATCCTCGATGATTCAATTTGATTTTAAAACCTACCTACGTCAGCATCTTGGAAAAACCCTAGTACATCATCCCTAAAACGCCAATAGAAAAACCCAAATTTAAATCCCTAAATGATTCTGATGATGATGATGAGAACTTGGATGAAGTCGCACCTTCTTCACCTTCCGGTTTGATTTCATTGGATTGTTGATTCAAAGTTTTAGGTAAATTTTCTTGATATTTTTATCCTCAGACGTCTTCAACTATCTTCAATCTCAATGTCTTCAATCGATCATTTTTTCTTCCATCACCACCGGCCCTCTTCTTCTTTATTCGATTCCCATGATTGATTCATGAAATCAATTATATAAAATATATTTAAAAAATTAAGATAAAGCACAACGCTTTTGATATCATTTCTTTAGGAAAATGCAGGTAACGAAGAAGAAATTGAGATAAAGCACAAACATCAAATGGGGCCCTGCATCTTCCCCACGTAAAGAAGAAGTACATGAGAAGCGAATCATATGCAGGTAATGAAAAAAATGGTCTCATAGACTTGATAAAACTTAACTTAATCAAGTATTTTTGCTTTCCCTCCTGTGTTTATGATACTTAAAACTTTGGGTGATAAAATGATGGTATTAAAACTCATAAAGATGCATTTCGCTTGAAACAAAGCTTTTCCTATGAAATCTCATTCTAAATTTAGTCCAGTAGAACTATAAGGAAAGTAACTGATGCGTTTGTTGGAACTGTGCTTTGGTTAGTCTGGGTTGCAAAGAACGATGTGATTTTTAGGAAAATAAAGATATCTTTCCCAAAACTGGTGGATGATATTAAGTTATGTTTATTTTCCTGCATAAAACATAGGGATAAAAGGCACAAATTAGATTAGTTAGTTTGGGGTCAATCACCTTCGGTGCTTGTAATGTGTAACTTGATTATTATTTTTCTTCCCTGTGGGCTTTGATAGGAAATTTTCAATCTGTCTTCAAATCTCCAGGTCTATGGGTGGGTGTGGGCCAGGAGGGGGAAGGGGGTCAGATGAAGTGTATCTTGGTGTGTGTGTGTGTGTGTGTGTGTTTGGTGCGTGTAACTATCACAATTGGCAAGGGTTTAGAGTCTGTTGGTGTGAGTACTCTTTATGATACTCAAGTGCTAATTGGGTCTATGATAGCATGCATTTTTATCTTTTCTCTAGATATGTATTCACATGTTTTTATTCGGTTCCTGTTTTTGCAGTTCCTGATATACATCGATCCAACAACACAAAGTTCCAGGGATATGCTTGGTATTGACACTCGAGGTTGAAAACTTCAACGTCATGTCAGGGATAGATATAAACTTATTTCGAGTTTGGTCCATTATACCCTTGGGATTGTTACTTATCTGTTATGGTTTTTCTGTTTATGGATATCCTCTCCAGGTACCAGCTTCAAAGATTTTGTGTTTATTTTGCAGTTCATACATGGCACACTGCTGTCTCTTGCCATTTTATGACATTTTCGCCCCTGGAGCTGTTTTGAAGGTTGTTTGGGCCTAGTTTGTTATTGATTTTGCATTTGGAGCTTTGTTGGAGTGATATTTCCCCTCTAATATTATATGGTGGTGTTCCTGATGGCATCTCATCTGGGTTTATCTCCTGCAGGGATTTTGTAATTGTGTAGTTCTCTTGGACTTAGTTATATGGTGTTGTATTAGTTTTTTTCTCTTATTTTTCTGTTTTACCTTTTTGTAATTTGCAGCTTCTCGGTGGTTTTGGTTTTTTATTTTAATATAGTGTCGTTCTTAAAAAAGAATGTTTTTCATTTTTTGGAGTTAGTTTCTGCTACAGGTACTTAAAGGATATGGAATTGGGTGTTTTGAGTGACATGGATGATATTCATAAAAAACTTGATGGAAGCTACTAAAGAAACAGGTAATCATCTTAATGTGTTTTTTGTATGAGCATTTTTCTTGCAAATTAATGTATTTTTTCTTTATTAGTTACAAAATGATAAAAAAAAATAACGTGTTTGATGGAATAGCAATGAAGCTTAGAACTAAATTCAAGAATTACATGTTTATCTATATCAGACGACTATGAAAGAAAACTGAAAACAAATATTAGATCTAGTTTTGAAGGGATACTCTTACGAAGGAAAACTGAAAACATATATATATATATATATATATATATATATATATAGAGAGAGAGAGAGAGAGAGAGAGAGAGAGAGAGAGAGAGAGAGATTAATTAGGAAAAGAATTAATAAAAGGTTTTGTATGTTAATAAAATGTTTATTATTATTTTATATATCTAACAAAATAGATTAATTAGTAAAAAATATAATAAAGATCTTGTATGTTAATAAAATGTTCATTTTTCATTTTGTATAACTAACAAAATAGATTACTTAGTCAAAAAATAATGAAGCATTAAAATTTTCGTATGATGAAGGGGTAAATGAAAATCAGTAAATAAATGCAATAAGCTGTCAATATGCCCTAAACTGTTGAATCTTTTTAATAAAAAAAGTCATTAAATATTTTCTAAGTGGTAAAAAGAACTTTTTGGCCTGTTTTTAAATCTTAGGATGTCCCAACTGGTGAGCTACCAAGGAACATGCTTTTATCTGTAGACAAACAACTTGTACAAACAATTGTTCCTGATACAAGATTGACTATAATGGGATTTTACAGCATATTTCAAGCTTCAAAGACATCTACATCGTAATACTTTCACTTTATCTATTCACCAATAACATTTAACTTTCATACATTTTGAATATAGCTAAATCTGCAATCTTTTTTCTGTTTTGATCTAGTCACAAAGGAGTAATTGCTATTAGACAACCGTATATAAGAGTTGTTGGAATAGAAGAAACAAATGAAGCTACAATTTAGGTGTTCAAATACATTGCATACTTGTTGCTGCAAGTAATCCTTATCCACTTCCAACACTAGTTTATCAACCCCCAATGCAAAAAATAGAACCAACTGATAACAATGAAGCACAATCAGAAAGTCGTTTATCAGATGTTGAAACTATAGCTAAAGCATTTGCTCAGGTATTAAACTATTAATAAATAAATTTATACATAGATATTTAATTAATGTTAAATGTTTTTACACCTATATGAATTTTTCGTAGTAGTGTTCCGTTTCTTTATCAGTTATATGCCCGAAATAGCTTCCGAAACTCAAAGCAGTCTATAATGCGATAATTAATGATTACATTTTATTTTTTTTAGTAAGTTTCTTATTTTATTATATAATATATTCCTTAAATTAATAATTGTATTTGATTTTATAGGGAAAAAGGAACCCTTCAGCAGCTGATCCTACAATTGTTATTGTGAAAAATCCACATTATCTTGTACTCATTTCAGAAACATTCATGGAGGCTCGTGCTGCTTTATGTCGATCAGGAATTACAAATTTGCCCTCTCAAAGTCCTATAAAAGTAGATGCAACTTCAATTCCTCCTGTTTCAGCCCCCCTCCATCTTCAATTCCACTAGGTTTTGTTTCAAATTCATGTTCATATCATTTCATTTTAGTTAGTATAAACATTTTGTATTTTTTTTTTTATATATATAACAAATGGGCCTATGATGAATAGACAACCAGTTCCTGTGGGAAACATTCCTCCTGCAACCGTGAAAGTTGTAAGTCCCATTGAAAACCTTTTATGTTTTCAGAAAACAGAAAAGGGTATTTTGTTGATTTTTGAAAAATTTCAGGAGCTAACAATGGTTACTTCAATGCCACCTGTACCGGTGCCTATACTTGCACCATCATTCCAACATGTGCCACCTGTCCCACGTCCTACACCACCCATGCAAATTTCATCACCATTATCAGTTTCACAAGAAATGTTATCAAGTAATGATGGAATCCAAGATATGAAGCCAATTGTGAGTAATATACAACCACCTATGCGTCCAGCTGTCACTGTAAATCACAACATTCTCAAACAACCAAGCAACAATTGCTGGAGGAACATCCATGGGAATACCAAATCCCATGGCTGTGTATATGTCCAACATGATATCAAGCGGAATGGCATCCACAATTCCGGTTGCCTAAATCGTAATCTCATCTGGGCAATCAGTGATTCCATCAATAGCAATGTCAACTACATCAACTGTATCTGGTTCTTTTGCTTCGGCAGCTAATGTTGGTCTCACCCAACAATCAACTGGTGCTTTACAATCAGCACAATCAAAATATGTCAAAGTCTGGGAGGTATAAATATAAATATAATAACCAATATTCACATTTGGAGCATTATTTTTATAAATTTATGATTAATCATTTATTTGGAAATTGGAATAATATAAGTGTGAGATAAATGATGCAAGGGAATTAATCCGGTCAGAGACAACGTCAGCCTGTAGTTATTACAAGATTAGAAGTAAGTTTAAATATATTATTTAATTTAATTTTGATTTGTAAAAAAATGGTAGGGTTACCGGAGTGCATCGAATTCTGAATCATAAGTCACCCATGACATGACATCACATAGTATTTAAGCAAAATGTTTGACTCTGATTATTATTGAAATACCTAAAATACCCTTCTCTCTTAGGCTTGCAGCAAATTGGCCACCAACAATGCAAATAGTGCGACTTACATGTCAAGGTCACATGAACAAAAAGTAAGCTTTACCAAATTTTTTTTTTGTCATATATTGTTTCCCTCTTCAGTTTTCCTTTAAATATTTATTTATTTAAATTTAAATTCTAGGTATTATGTGGGAAAAGCAGATTTCCTAGTTTTTCAGGCAATGAATCAGTTGCCTTCACAAACACTTCTACTCTGACTAATTGGAATGCTTTAAAACAGGAAGTTTTTAATTACAAAATAGCTGCATGTCCTGATAGACATAGAAAATTTGAAAATGAACTTGCCTCTACAATGGATGTTGCTCTTGGGATTTTGATTGCATGTTTAAATATTCCAGAATTAAAAGAACAGGTGACTTTTTTTCTTTTTCTTTTTCTTTTTAGCAATAAGAAATTAGTATTAGTAGTTAGAATCTGCAAAGGGGTAAATAAAGTCAATTTAGTTAGAATTAGTGAATACATTGTATTAGTCATTAATCATGTTTGTGTGCTTTTTTGTTGGGCAGGATCATCGGGCAGGACATTTAGGCATAATTATAATATAAAACTATAAAAAAATTTCATTTTTTGATATATATTTTTTGTTTTGTTTTGCAGAGGATACTAAAGAGCAAAGTGATAGTGATGCCCTTGAGATAATCCACAGTACACAACCGTTTATGCAGGCAACCTTAGACCTGAAGAAGTACTTTTTCTACAAATGTTGCTTAAGGTAGTGGAGGGCCTTTATGTAATGTGATGGGTCAACCTCTTTTGAAGTTTCATCTACATCTAGTTTTATTCTTCTGACGTGCTTTTTGTATTTGGTTCAACAGCTGAGGATTATAATCAAACCCACACCTTGTGTTGGTGTAAGGCCTTTATGTAATGCACAACAGGTTTCCATGATGGCATGAAAGTGGTATTAAGTATTAGCATTCTTATTACATTATACCCCTCACATTTTCCCAAATTACCCCTTGCTCTACAATGTTTTTTTTGTTACTATGTATTTTGTGCATCAGTTAAAGTTGATGGAAGAAAGGAATATGAAGCCACTTGATTTAAATCTTGCAGCATTATCATCAAGAGACTTGGAGTTGAATTTAGCTAAGTCATTATTGAGTGAGATGGGCCAATGTACAACTGCTTATCCATATCATTAGCTGTTTGGAGCATTAGTTTTAAAGAATTATGAAGGCAAGATGCAACTTTACTTAGTTGGAATTTGATGTACATAGTAGATTAGATTAGATTAGATGCAAATTTATATATTGTAAGAAATAGAATTGTATGACATTAAATTTATGCAATGGATTCTATTTTTTGTATATGATATTTTATTTTCTATTATGAAACATTAAATACAAATTTAATTTGAAAATAAGTAAATCTATAAAGAATATTTTTTTTAAACATTTAAAATTATGATACGCAAAAATATGTGTCATCTTCATTTATAACATGGCCTTTCTTGATAGGGGTTTTTTGATACACATTGTGTGTCATTAACACGCACGTCGTAAGGTTACGACACGCGAATGCGCGTCGTCTTCCTTTATGATAGGGCCTTCCTTGATACGCATTGTGTGTCGTAAACGCGCGTTGTAAATGAGCGTCGTAAATGCGTGTTGTCTCTCTTTATGACAATGCCTTCCATGACGCACATTTGTTTGTCGTCTGAGCCTTTTACGACGCGCAATGAGCATCATAAAAGGCAATTTTTCTAGTAGTGTTTCCTTTCTCATGCCTTAGATCTCGGTTTTTACACACTTTTTGATAACATATTCATCACAAAACACATGATATCACACATATACATGCATCAAATCACACATAACATACATTTACACATAGATCTACACATTTACTTGTATTCCCCCCATAAAACTCATAAAAACCAAAAGGAAGGGGTATGAAACTCACCTTGGGTGTGGTTTCAGTTTTGGAAGGAAAAGATGAAGAATAATTCGATCCTAGCAACCTTTATTGGAGGATCTCGAACTTGGATGCTTCTAAGGTGCAAGATCATGAGTTTGAATGAATTAAATGATGATTCTTGAATGAAAGGAAATAACTAGATTATGGATCTAACATCAACTTACCTTAGATGATGTGTTAATGGGTTAAATCTCCTTGAAAGCTTCCTTAATCTCGAAAATATAGAGAGGAGTGGAGAGAGTTTTCTTGAGAGAATTGTGAGTGAAGTGTATGTGTGTTTGTTTGGATTCGGCCAAGAGGGAGAGAGGGAGAAAAAGAGAGAGTGAGCTTGCATGGAAAGATGAGAAGTGCATGGATGTTTGAAGTGTAATGCCTAGTTATCCCCCATACAAAAATGATGTGGCATGCAAGAAGTCAACTCTTCCCTTTCTCTTGGGCTTGGGCTGAGATTTGGAGAGAAAAAGGAAGGAATTAGGCCCTTAAATGCCTAAGTCCAAATCATAGCTAATTTAGATAACTATTGGTCCAAAATAAATCAAGTAATATTTTTATGGCCCATTAGGGATAATTAGGTTAGTTATGGCCCAATGAGGTTCATTTAAATATTTTGTTTCATTCTAGGCCTAATATGGCCCGAAATATTAAAATAAATGAAAGTGGGTCCAGTTAGAGCCCATTTAAGAGCTCTAAGCCCATGATATTCCAATTGGAAGCTTATTGGTCTATTGGGACCAATAAGGAAGTCCTAGTCCAAAATGGACTTAAACAAGGACTTCTAGGGTTTCCAATTATTTGTTGACTATTTGTAGTGCTTGTATGAAGTGTTTGATTGAAATTCTGTTGTCATAGAGTAAGCATCATGCATGCTTTCATGTTTTTGATTCATAGTTGACATAAGTGTTGTAGTTACAAGGCACCAAAAATTTCTAGTTGTGACATATGATTCCACCATCTCGGTCCTACGATCTACAATCAACAGCCTTCGATGCTCTCTATCTTCCAACTTTCATGATCCTGAGATTCTTCGACTTGCCAAGGAGATTCATCAACTACTCTTCAACACCACCATTCCAAACAATCAACAACTGGTTGATGCACTCAAAGCTCAATTCCAGAATGTGTGTACTAAAGTCGATGGTCTTAAGCAATTGCTTGAGGAATCCCCAGCTCTGCAATCCTCAAAAGGGGGAAGTGATGAAGACCATCAGTCAAATCTCATCTCCCACCAGCATACCAAAACTACTTCTGAAAACATTCCAACCGCTCAACCTTCACCGTAACCATCTCCTCACAAGAATCCAAGCCATTAGTCACCACTGCAACATTAGTCACCACCGCAACAGGAAATCATTCAAGAATCTAATCCTTCTTCTGAGCGACCGGTGACTCCTCCCCACTTCAAGAACGTAGCATCGAATATGTCATCTGAAAATTCCAATGATTCTACCGCAACGAAACAGAAGAAAGTCAACTGGAAAGTAGCCAAATTTGCTGAGCTAGTCTGGAGAGAAAACAAATTCAACATCACCATGGATGAATCCTTGATCAATTCTTGCATCAATCCCTACCGAAGATTGCAGGATGATGACTATAAACCTTATCTTACCTTTGTTGAACCCCCACCTGACCGTTACTGGGATGTTCCAGTCTCCCCAATGCAAAATACTTAACTGTATTTGAGCAGTTTGACCGCAACTTACCTGATCACAAAAGAATGCCCATGGAATTTGAAAGACTTAATCGATTCTATGCTACACATGCTTCTTCAATAGAGAAAATCTGGTCTAATGATAGACCATCCGCATTCAACAACTTTAAGCCCCGGAAATTCATGAAAGCTGACCTTATCCAGTATACTCTTACAAGAAGGAATCAGGACTACGTCCGCACCCAAGCTGACTTCCCATGCATGAATCCAGAAGAAGACTCCGTGATAGCAAAGGTGTTCCAAAGCAAAACTGAAAAGTATCCTAAGATGAAGATAGCTTTTTAGAGGGTAAACACATTTTTTAAGGGAAACTGTCTATGACTACGCAAAGATTGATGCACACATTCACCCTATCCTTGCCCAAAAGTTCGATCTACCACCACTTGATCCTGCACCGATGTTTACTGAAGTTTATCAAGAAAGATATCTGGGTGCAACAAACTTCCCATATCTTGGAGTCATTTTCAAACGAAAGGTCAATGAAACCAAATATTTCATTCCTATGACTGCCATAAATCGTCTCACAAGGAAGCAACTTGAAGTTTTTCGAACCGCAGTTTGAAAGTCAAAACACATAAATGCCGAAGTCAAGTTCAAAATTTTAAGAAGAATCACCTGGTTAGAGAATATAAAAAAGTTTTGGTGGATTCTCATCAACTTCCTAAAACTCGATAACTGAAGAAAAGTTAAAGAGGTCACTTAGGGGGAAATTGTTGAATCATAAAAGTGACCCTCTTAAACTTAGTCTACTGCGGCCTTCCAAGATGCGCAGTCAACTCTATTCAACAACCCATCTGAAGTCACTATCTAGATTTCTTAGTTTAGCTCTTTATATGCTTTTCTTAGAATACTCTCCTTTGTCCAATATGCCTTGCATGGCTACGCTTAGATAGTTGAACAAATGTAATATTTGAGTCTCTATAAATAGAGCTCAATCTTTCTTATTTAATATATCAGATAACACTACACATCTTTAATCTAATCTCTTGTGTTATTACTCTCATCTCCTTCTTATTCTCAAAGTTCACCAGAATATAACTGAATATTATCTCTCTTCGGAGCAAGTCATTCTTGACTTAATCACTAAGTTTGATCTCACTTACTAACTTGGTTTGAATGCATTCCTTGTTAAGAATCAAATTGTGTGTATACTTGATATAATACCTACTGTCATTTACATTTTCTTACATTTCCGCACCTAACTCTGTAATTATCTAACTCTAACTTATAATTATTGTTGAGCTTTTAGATCCTTTGAGATAAACTGTTCTGCAACTATAATTGTTCTAACGTCTATTCAAGTTTGTCTCAAGTTTTTTTCTTAACACAACTTGTAACAATAAATTGATACTCGGAAAATCAGGGCATTACATGACACGTGATTTTTCCCAAAAACCATCCATTTGACTCTTTTATGCTCTACATTGATCAAATCTAGAAAACTTTGGTTATAACCAAATGAGCACCAAAATAGATTTTTGGAGACAGGATGAGCTCCAAACACGTCAATGGAGGCTAGGATTTTATTAGACACATTCTTGGGGAGGTGTAAGTTCAAAAAAAAATAACATCAGCCATGGACCCAAATTATAAATATAAAAAAAAAAAATCAGTCATGGGCTTGAGAGCTCCATACCTCAAGGCTAAATCTTGAAAATTTTACAATTGCTTCATGCTTATTGTTTCGCTCATTGCTTATACCCTTCCTTGGACTTTAAAATTACCAAAAAAATAACAATGGAGAAATAGAATCGGGTGTTAATATATATATATATATATATATATATATATATATATATATATATATATATATATATATATATATATATATATATATATATATATATATATATTAAGGAAGAGCATGATTTTGAATAGCAAATATCCTTATTTGTTGGCAAAATTTGCCCATATGTTTTTATATTTTTAGTTGTTCAGGTTTTTTACACACACTGATATCTTTTTTTTTTTTTACTCAATTTGTTTATGTTGAAGTTGGTTTTTTTTTTTT